TATCAAATGGAGATGGGATAGGGAAAATTGGAAACAGGATGGAGAAAAATACCAGTTTTGTGAGAATACCCTGTCTCCATTAGTGGCATGCTCATTCAGCTCTTATCTTTATATTCCAGTAAGTTATTTTGCACTCACTGTTTAATAAAAAAAGAGCAACATTAAAATTCTTGCAAACCTTGCTTGATTGGAGAATTTTCATGCTTTTCATTTATCATTGTGAAACTAAGGACAGTTTTATAACATTTTTGTACATAACCCTTACGTGCAGAGCAATCTGTCTTTAAGTAGAGAGAAATTACTCTGAAGGAAATGAATCGAGTTTTCCTTTCAAATCAAACATTTTGTGTTTAAATAAACTCCTTGTTTTAAAAAAAAGTGTGCATGAAGTTATGGACTGATGGATGCTATCCATGGACCTGCTTATAGAACAGATATTAGTAGCCATTTTCACTTTTTATTAACAGCAATAGGCACAAACTAAATATATTTTGGTATTTGGGAAAGAGAAATGATTTCCGACGGGGTAAGCGAGTTGGCATTCTGGAAAGCAGGAACACTGGGCCTCCTGAGGAGACCTTTTAAATTTTAAATTTGGAAAAAATATATGAGGCATGATTTCAGAAATAAGATACCAATTTAAGTTAACATGCCATACTATGTTAGTATATTAGTCATTAATTAAAAATATTTTTGCTGTTAGTGATTATTTTAACATTTTATTCCCGAATATAAAATAATATAGCCAATGACTTTATTCTTTAATCTTTAGTACATGATACCTATTGCTTATGGATTTTCTTTAAATAGTAGCTAATACTAAAAATTAGGCAAAAAGACGTTAGCTCTTCTAGAGACCTAGGCGTTATATATTTAGATATATGGTTGTCTCGATAAAACCTAATATTCTTCCATTCCTACATTAAATGTTTTAAGTAAACAGAGATCTATTTCTCCTGAGACTGTTGGACTCCGCTTATCAGTGCTGAATTTAAATATAAATGGAACAACTTTCTTGCTTATAATTTAGAATTTTATAAGGTCTTTATAATCTACTGCCCACACTTTGTATCTAAAGAGTACTGTTTAAGATTTAGACATTTTAGGCCTTTTGGGAGAGAATATATAAAGACGATGTACAAAGGATACAATAAAAATGCACATTTGTATAGGTAAAAATTGAAGTATAAGAAGACACTCTGCATTGTTTGGGAGAATGTGGGACCTTTCAAAGCTCTGTGGACAGATTTTTTTTTTTTTCTTCCCTCTGTGCTTAGCATGGAGCCAAGTACTTTACTTGTATTACATGTATTATCTCATTGTGTTTCATTTAATCCTAACAATAACCTTGGATAAAAGTAGTATTTTCATCTGATTTTACAGATGAAGAAACATTATCAACTTCGGGTAACTTACCCAAAGTCACAGTAAAGTCCCCAGCCTCAGTTTATAATGTAGTGCAGGAGACAAGATACATAAAGAAGTTACTGTTATTTTTCTTTTTAAACCCTGGGTATTACAAATTGAAATGTTAACTATACGTGATGCACTTAATATGTGTCATGAACTGAGGGAAGGAGTGTCTCTACTTCTAGAAGATTAATTAAATATATTAATTGTTTAGTATGGTACACAGTGCATGATAGATATTATTTTTACTACTGTTGTTAATTATAAATGGTACTTGGATGTGTGCAGAGGGAGAGTGAGGGAGGTGCCTTCTATGTAGAGCCTGAAAAAAAAATGGAGTGTGGACAGAGAAAAGGCACGGCCAGCATATAATTTGTATCACAAAGTTATAGGAGATAATGACTGGACAGGTAGACTGTAGATATATCTTAGAAGGTTTTGAATGTCATGCTGAAGCATAACTTAGCCCTCCACCCTCTGATGGTTAAATCGGCTCTGCAGCCTCTCCATCATCTACTTGAATACCCTTTGGAGACAGGCCTCTCACTAAAGGTATTGTTAGGAAACAGAACACTTCCTTTGGACAATTTTTCACATTAGGAAGTACCTCCTTTTGTTGAACCAAATCTATCTCGTCATAGACTTGATACTACATTAGGCAAACAGAATGTAGCCATGTAGAGTGAATCCACATGTCACATATTTGAGGATTGCTCTTACGCTTCTCCTGAGGTTTTTTTCATACCCTAGGCCAATGTAACTAGTTCCTCCAACCAAACTTCACTAGACTTGGCATTAATTTTCTATCATGCTGGTGTACGTAAGTACAGCTGCTGTCTGGCAGCTCTCCTGGAGTTAAATTTTAACTCATTCAGGTTATTAAACATTAAATGATGATTTGGGTTTTGTTATTTCCAGATTATATTTTTGTTTCATCTGTAACTTCTAGTATTGCTTAGTCATAAATTTTCTTCTCAGAACTGTGAATATATGGATTATAATTTTTTTCAAACCCACATGAACCCCAAAATTAACCTTAGAATTAAAATGACCCGTACTTCTGTATTGTTTTAAAAAATCATGTATTTATGATGTATACGAATATTGAAAATGTCTTTTATCATTTGAATATATTAATTATCCTTTTCATATGTTTAAGCTCATATTCTGTGCCTTAGAGTATGCTAAGTATTTTGTACATAATTATCTTACTTAAGCCTCATGGAACTCTTATGAGCAAAGTATTATCCCCATTTAAAGTTTAGGTAAATGAGACTTAGGTAAAATAATTTGTTCATCACAAAACTTTTAAAAAGGTACTCATAACCATTCTACTATAAAGCTTAATCTCTATTTCCATTAATATTATTTATTGTGTCATCTTTATTGATAATAGTGTTCAGCATTGCCATTAAGTAAGTAGTCTTTTACTTTTTATTTATAAAAATTATTAAAATGCTTAAATTTTTCATTATATTGTATGTTTTAATATCAAGTGGATTTCAGTTTTTCATGAAACTGATTAGAAATGATAAAAGAAGGTGATGGCTCTGTTACATTTGAATTTGAGAGAACAATAATAAGGAACAATATTTCAAGAACATTAAAATAGCTCTAATATGATTTTTCAAAACTGTTCAGTGTCAGAGGTGCCCTAGGACCACCCCCTCACTAGAGGATTTATAGAACTGAGTATACAGTTGTACTCATGACTAAGATTTATTATAGTGTGGGAATACAAAGCAAAATCAACAAGGGAAAGGGTACATGGGATCAAGTCCAGAAGAAAAGAGGCTCAAGTTTCCAAAAGTCCTTTCTCAGTGAAGTCACAAAGGATATGTTGATTCATACAGCAGTGAGTTTTTTTGTTTTTTTTTTTTAAGATTTTATTTATTTATTTGACAGAGAGAGAGAGATAGCGAGAGCAGGAACACAAGCAGGGGGAGTGGGAGAGGGAGAAGCAGGCTTCCCGCTGAGCAGGGAGCCCAATGCGGGACTCCATCCCAGGACCCCAGGATCATGACCTGAGCCGAAGGCAGACACTTAACGACTGAGACACCCAGGTGCCCCTGTACAGCAGTGAGTTATGATAAAACATGTAAAGTGTTGTCTACCAGAGAAGCTCATTAGATACTAAGTACTTAAGATTTCTATTGGGGCTCCTTATGTTCTCACGCTGTGCCTAGTTCATACTGTAAGTCCAGACTCACAGAAGGAAAGTAGGTATTTGGCATAAACCACATTGTTTTTATAGCTTAGGCACAGTGAGCTACTCTTACCTTTTAGGGAAAGTTTTATATGACTGTAGGGAACTGTTTATCAGCCAACTTCTCAAATGCCATTTAGAGGCCAACCTTGCAAACAGGCCTTCCTAAGACTGGGCACCCTTAGGCCTCCTTTGTTAGGTGTTCATCCCAGATTCAAGAGCATTGGAGAAATTAGGTATTCTTATTAATTTGGCAGTATAACGGACATGATTGAATTTGAAATTTCTTTTCATTGAAATAATCTCAACCTAAACCATATAATTAAGGGACATTTATTTTACTGGTCATTAAATTAGTAGTCTGTCTATATTGAACTACTCTTCCAGCCGTTGTTTTCAGTTATTGAAGGACTTGAGTTTCTGTGCATGGAATTATTTAAGCAAGCAATATCTTGATTTCTGTTCAGAAGTTATAGGATGTATTCTTCTTACTGTTGTTACAATAACTTGAGAGAAACTGCTATAGTATTATATCATTCCAAAGTGCATATTTTATAACTTGAGCTACCTAAAATTAACTTTTTTGAAATGACAACATATAATTATAAATAATAAAGACAGGGTAATGAAAAGCCGTATGATCTAAATCAAACTGGAACCAGCACGGATAAGGCCTCCTGTTAAGCAAGTAAAGTAACTCTGGTTGAGTGAAGACAATGGCAGTCTTGTCTCTTGTTTTCCTGTATTGTGAACATAGAACACTGGATATTCTATTAAGCTGGGGATGTTGTCTCTTGTTTACCATTCTGTGGCCAGTGCATAGCATGATGTCTAGCATGTAGTAGGTGCTTAAATATTTGTTCAATGAATGAGTGACTGAGTATTGAGTGAAAAGAGTGGTAAGTTGTCAGGGAAACTTAGTTCATAAAATACCAGAAGAATGTGAGAAAGAAGGGGACAAAAAAATCTGTGCCATGTCATAGAGATTATCAGGAATTCTCTAATAATTAGTTGCTTTAATCTAGATGATTTTTCTGAAATGTTGAGATAGAGAATAGGAAGAAGAAATTAGCTTATTATTCAAAAGGAGTAGCTGTAACAGTGTTTCAGGAGCCTAATTTCTCATGATAGACCTTTTAAAGAAATTTCCAAAGTACTGAACAAATGTAATCTTCTTTCCTTTCCTTTCTTTTTTTGTTTTTGTTTGTTCATTTCAAAGAGAGACAGTCCCTCAGTCATAGTTTTCGAGTTTTTCTTTTTTAAAATATTGGTTAATTAGTATTTTTGTTTTCCTTAGAGATTTAATAGATTGAGAAAAGAAAGGATCATTGCTAAGTTAGTTTGCTACCACTTCACCAAAAATGTTCCCTTATTTTCTTTCTAGCAACACCCAGGACACTTCTCAGCAGTTGGCTCCATCAGTAGCTTCAGCACGGAGCATGCCTGAGAGGCGGGAGAGCCCAGCCTCCACCAGACCAGGGGTGACTGGTCTCACAACTGCTGCCGCCTTCAAGCCTCCAGGATCCACCAACATTGTCAAGTCACCAAGTTGGCCACAGCCAAACCAAGCAGGTATGCCAAAGAAATCTCTTGCTTTATGTTTTTCTTACGTATAGTTATGAAAATGTCTTCCAGGATGTATGATAGAATTCACTGATGAAACCCATTCTCAACCATCTAAGCTTTAAAAAGGTCTGCAAGGAATAGCTATAGCTATTTTCCTCTGAAGTATTCCATAAACATTCTGTGTGTGTTTGATACAATTGCCCTTTGCTATTCATAATTATAGAATTGGGAATTTCTTTGTTTCCCAAATTACTCAAGAAATGTGTGGATTGTAAACTTGGGATCTTATTAAATAACTCTATCATTGGGAGGTTAACCTTGAAAATCCAACATTGTAGTTTTGATGATACATACAAAATAACAACAACAGAAGCATTTGTTTTTATCAGTTAGTGAAGAAAAAATCTTTGACTTCTTGTCTGCTGAAAATTTATGAGACGGAGGTGGAAGAAGTTTTCAGTAGCAGAAAGAGAACATATTTTATTTTAGTTGTTTTATTTTTGTTTTATTTTATTTGAATATAGTTGACATATAATATTAGTTTCAGCTATACAGCATAGTGTCTTGACAGTTCTGTACATTATGCTGTGCTCACCGTAATAAATGTAGTTACCACTTGTCACCATACAACATTATTATAATATTATTGACTATATATTCCCTATGCTGTACTTTTCATCCCTGTGAATTACTTAATTTTTTTAACTGGAAGTTTGTACCTCTCAATCCCTTTAACCTATTTTACCCATCCCACTAGCCCCTTACCCTCTGGCAGCCACCACTTAGTTCTCTATATTTATGACTCTGTTTTGTTTATTTGTTTGTTTATTTGCTTTGTTTTTTAGATCCCACATATAAATGAAATCATATGGTATTTGTCTTTCTCTGATTTATTTTACATAGCATAATACCCTCTAGGTCCATCCATATTGTCACCAAAGGCATGATCTCATCCTTTGTTATGGCTAATAGTCCATTGTATATTTATACCACATCTCTATCCATTCATCTGTTGATGGACACTTGGATTGCTTCCCTGTCTTGGCTGTTGTAAATAATGCTACAATAAACATAGGGATTGCATATATTTTGTTGAATTAATATTTCTGTTTTCTCTGGGTAAGTACCCAATAGTGGAATTACTGGATCCTACGATATTTCTATTTTTAAGTTTTTGAGGAATTTCCATACTGTTTTCCACAGTAGTTGCACCAAATTCTAGTCCTACAAATAGTACACAAGAGTTCCCTTTTCTCCACATCCTTGCCAACGCTTGTTATTTCTTGTCTTTTTTATTTTAGCCATTCTGACAGGTAGAAGGTGATATCTAATTGTGGTTTTCATTTGCATTTGCCTGATGATTAGTGATGTTGAGCATCTTTTCATGTGTCTTTTGGCATCTGTATGTCTTCCTTGGAAAAATGTTTATTCAGGTCCTTTGCCCATTTTTAATCAGATTATTTGGGGTTTTTTGGTGTTGCCTTGTATAAGTTCTTTATATTTTGGACCTTAACCCCTGATAAGATATATCATTTGCAAATATCTTCTCCCATTCAATAGGTTGCCTTTTCATTTTGTTAATGATTTTCTTCCTCGATTTTGCTGTGGTCCCAATAGTTTATTTTTGCTTTTGTTATTCTTGCCTGAGAAGACATATTTAGAAAAATGTTGCTAAGGCCAATGTCAAAGCAATTACCGCCTATATTTTTTAAGGAGTTTTATTATGGTTTCAGGTCTCAGAGTTAGGCCTTTAATTCATTTTTAGTTTATTTTTATGTATGGTATAAGAAAGTGGTCCCATTTCATTCTTTTGCATTTAATTGTCCAGTTTTCCCAGGAATGTTTATTGAAGAGACTATCTTTTCCCCTATTGTAATGTTCTTGCCTCCTCTGTCATAGAGTAATTGACCATATAAGCATGGGTTTATTTCTGGGCTCTGTATCTTGTTCTGTTGATCTATGTTTCTGTGTTTGTGCCAGTACCACAGTGTTTTGATTACTGTAGCTTTGTAGTATAGTTTGAAATCTGGGACTGTGATACCTCCACCTTTTTCTTTTTTCTCAACATTGCTTTGTCTATTCAGGATCTTGTGTGGTTCCATACAAATTTTAGGATTGTCTGTTCTAGTTTTGTGAAAAATGCTATTGGTATTTTAATAAGGATTGCATGGGATCTATTAATTGCTTTGGGTAGTATGGATATTTTAACAATATTATTTCTTCCAGTCCAGGAGCATGGAATGCCTTTCCATTTGTTTGTGTTGTCTTTAATTTCTTTCATTAGTGTTTTATAAGTTTTCAGAGTACAGGTCTTTCACCTCCTTGGTTAAGTTTATTCCTAGGTATTTTATTATTTTTGGTGCAGTTATAAATGGGATTGTTTTCTTTATTTCTCTTTCTGGTAGTTCATTAATGTACAAAAATGCAACATATTTTTGTGCATTGATTTTGTACCCTGCAACTTAACTAAATTTATTAGTTCTAAGAGCTTTTTGGTAGAGTCTTTAGGGCTTTCTATATATACTATCATGTCATCTGCAAATAGGGACAGTTTTACTTCTTCCTTACCAATTTGGATGCCTTTTATCTCTTTTTCTTGTGTAATTGCTGTGACTAGGACTATGTACTATATTGAATCAAAGTGGTGAGAGTGGACATTCTTGTCTTGTTCTTGATCTTAGAGAAAAAGCTGTCAGCTTTTCATCACTGAATATGATGTTAGCTGTGGGTTTGTCATATATAGCCTTTATTATGTTGTATGTTCCCTATAAACGTACTTTGTTGAGAGTTTTTATCATGAACAGATGCTGAATTTTGTCAAATGCTTTTTCTGCATCTAATGAGATGATCCTATGGTTTTTATCCCTCATTTTGTTATAGAAAGAGAACATTTGAATAGTAAGGTGCAATAATTTGGTCTCAATCTGGAAACCTGAGTTTTCATTCACTTCCACAGATAAATAGCTTTAAGTAAAGTCACTAACCTCTTTGACCCTCCATTTTCTGATTTGCAAAATAAAGACAGACTAAATAATCTCCTGTTTTCTCCCAACATGAATAAAGGTGATGGTTATAGGACTAAAGGACTTCTCTTAACAAGAAGATGGGACTATATACTTAAGGGTTTCCAGTCCCATCCTCAGCCTTCATCTCTTTGCACTCTTTATGCTCTCTAAATGATCTGTCATCCAGATTCCTTTTACAACCTAGCCACTGATAATTTAGAGTCCTCTCTGTCCTGAACTCCATATCCTCAAAATTGTTGACCTACTTGTGGTACCTCAAATGCAGCATGTCCAAAAGCATTATTACCTATCTCTGGGAATGGTACATCCACCCAGTCACCAAAGCTCCAGTGTAAGCTTGAGAATCTCCCACTTCTATCCCCACGTTCTCATAGTAACTAACACCTAATGATTTCACTTCTGAGTATTTCTCAAGTTTCTTTTCTCCTCTCTGTGGTCAGAGCCATTGCCTTGGTTCAGGCCTTTGTCATTGCAAACAACTTCTAAGTAATTTCCTTGTCTCCTTCTCACCCCCATCAATCTGTCCTTCATACTGCAGCAAGTAACTTTCTAAATCTCTGATTTGCCCACTTCACTCTCCTGTTGCAGATGCTTTACTGTATTGCCCCATTCCTTAGCTTATCATTGAAGTCCGTTTTCAGTCTGGCTCCCACTAACTTCTCAATGGTCATCTCCCACTGCTTCCAAATTATAATCTGTGCCATAGTCTTACTAAAGCATCTTAAGTTGCTGAGACATGCCATGTTACCTTGCTTTAGAATGTTCTGGTCCTTCTTCATAGAATGTGTTTTTTTGGTTTTTGGTTTTTGTTTTTTTTACCTTGACCGCTATAGAATTCTAGCCTTTCCTCATCAGTGTTGGGATAAATGTTGATTGAATACACAAGGGACTACTTTTAAATATATATATATATATATATATATATTTTAGGAATTTCTTTAAGGATTGATCATTTATTAATATTTAAGAATATTTTTACAGTTGTAAGAGTGGATTTTTAGTTAATTTAGGAATCCATCTTTTGTTTTACATTTCCCATAGTGTTAAATATATTAGACACTAAATAATTTATAATTAATAAATTATCTTTAGAAAAATACTAATTATAGTTAAAATTATTTCACAGTGTCATATTGAATAGTTTTGAATTACCATTATGTGTTACTAATTTTGCAAAAAAGCTAAATTTTTTTTGTTTTGGGGGCAAGAGATAATCCTTTGCATATGATCTAGACTGTTTTAAAGACTATTTTATCACTTTCAAAAACTTAAAATATTTAGACTTATATCATTAGCTTCTGAAATTTCTGGACTGTTAATTGATTTAGCAAGACTTATTCTCTTGGGGGAAAATGCCAACAGCCTAGCCCCCTACTTTTTAGTTATTTTCCATTTACTTGAAGCTTATCAATGAGGTGGAGATTTGCTGAAATTATTTTGTATGTGCATTAGACTATAGAAAGTAACTTTAGGAAAAATATCCTTGGTGTAGTAATTGGAAGGAAACAAGAGAATGTTTCTTAAAAGTGAGGGAAAGACTACTGATGTAGAAACTGAAGGGAGGGCATTAAGTATGTGCACTGGAGAGGGCAGAGAGTATATATACTGCTTTTGGAAATTCAGAAACTGTGGTCAAAATACCACTCTGTTAAAGGGAAAAGAAAAAATTGAGGCGGAATTCCTAGAGAAGACACTACAGCAAAATTACCACAAGAGGGCAACAGAATCCTGTCTCTTTGAGTGTAATTTGTTAATAATGATCAAAGCAGTCAAATAACACAACTATAATCATGATTCATATGGTTAGAATTTAAAAGATTATACTTTTTACAGAAAATATAATTTAATTTGAGCAAAACTATAAGAGTATAAACCATTACACATTATATGACATTATAAAGCATTAATATCATAAAATGTATGAATCATAGTTGAATTACATCATGATGCTTAGCCCAAATTAGAAAATATTTGCAGAAC